AAATGAACATTAATAACCTTTCAAAAAAGAAAGCATCAAGTCCTGCTGGAATTCTACTAAACATTCAAGGGAGAAATTATACCAATTCTCTCCAATCTCTTTCAGAGGAGAACAACAGAGGAAATACTTCCTTATTCATTTTCTGAGGCCAGAAATACACTACTACCCAAAGCAGACAAATGACATTATAGGGAAAGTTAGAGACAAACAAAACAAAACAACCCCCCCCAAAGAAAACCCCTTAGTGACCAGTATCTCTGATTAGCATGGAAGTAAAAATCTTCAACTAAATATTAGCAAATTGAATCCAATGGTGTATAAAAAGAATTATACATCATGACCAAGCAGAATTTGTCACAGGTATACATAGCTGGTTTAACTTTTGAAAATGTTAATATAATCAGCCACATCAACAGGCTAAAATAGAAGTCATGTGATCATATCAATAGATGCAGAAAATGTATTTGATAAAATCCAAACCAATTCAGTACAAAAACTCAGCAAATTAGAATGGAGGATAATTTTCTCCAATTGATAAAAAAAAATACCTACAAAAACCCAACAAGAATTAACATTGTTGGGACACGGGTGGCTAAGTGGTTGAGCATCTGCCTTTGGCTCGGGCCATGATCCCGGGGTCCTGGGATCAAGTCCTGCATCAGGCTTCCCATAGGGAGCCTGCTTCTCCCTCTGCCTGTGTCTCTGCCTCTCTCGTGAATAAATAAATAAAATCTTAAAAAAATAGTTAAAATGTCAATATAACAAAAGCAATACAAATTCAATACAATTGTTCTCAAAATTCCAATGGCAGTTTTCACAGAAATGGACCAACAATTCTAAAATTTATATGGAACCACAAAAGTCCGCAAAGAGCTAAAGTCACCTTGAGAAAGAACAAACCTGGAGTTATCATGCTCCCTGATTTCAAATTGTTTTACAAAGCTATAGTAATTAAAACAGTATAGTATTAGCATAAAAACAGTCATAAAGATCAATGAAATAGAACAGACAGCCCCCAAATAAAGCTATGTATATATAGTCATTTTATGACAAAGGAGCCGAAAATATAAAATGTGGAGAGGACAGTCTCTTCAATAACTGAACCTAGGAAAGAACTAGAAAAATAATACTAAAATTTGTATGGAAACACAAAAGACCCTGAATAGCCAAACCAATTATGAGAAAGAACAACAAAGCTAGAGAGATCACCATCTCAGATTTCTTTTTTTTTTAACGATCTCAAATTTCAAGATATACTATATACTATAGAGTGATCAAAACACTATAGTACTAGCACAAAAACAGACACATAGATCAATGCAACAGAATAGAAAGCCCAGACATAAGCCCATGCTTACTTATATGGTCAACTAATCTGACAAAGGAGACAAGAATATACAATAAGTAGGGCACCCTGGATGGCTCAGCGGTTTAGCTCTGCCTTCAGCCCAGGGCCTGATCCTGGAGAACCAGGATGGAGTCCCACGTCAGGCTCCCTGCATGGAGCCTGCTTCTCCCTCTGCCTGTGTCTCTGCCTCTCTCTCTCTCTCTCTGTCTCTCTCTCTCTGTCTCACGAATACACAAATAAAATCTTTTAAAAAAAAAGAATATACAATAAGTAAAGGACAGTCTCTTTCACAAATGGTGCTGAGAAAACTGGACTGTTGTATGAAGAATGAAACTGGACCACTTTCTTATACCATGCACAACAATAAACTCAAAGTGGATTAAATAAAGATCTGAGACCTAAAACCACAAAACCTATTAAAAAAAAAAAGCATACTCAGTAATCTCTTGGACATCAGCCTTAGCCACATTTTTTATGGCTATGTCTCCAAGAGAAATAAAAGCAAAAATAAGCTATTGGGACTATACAAAAATAAAACGCTTTTGTATAGCAAAATGAAAATACAACCTGCTGAATGGGAAAACATATTTGCAAATGATCCATCTAATAAGGGGCTAACATCTGAAATATATAAGAACTTTTACAACTTAACACACACAAAAACCCCACATATAGTCCAATTAAAAAATGGGCAGAGAACCTGAATGGACATTTTTCCAAAAAAGACAGATGGCCACAGACAAGTGAAAAGATCCTCAACATCACTAATCATCAGGGAAACGCAAATCAGAACCACAGTGAGTTATCACCTTACACCTGTCCAAATGACTAGAATCAGAAAGACAACAAATAGCAAGTGTTGGTGATGATGTGGAGCAGAGGGAATCCTTGTGCACTGTTAGTGGGAATGTATATTTGTGCAGCCACATGGAACATTAAAACTATCCTATGATCCAGCAATCCCATTTCTGGGTATATAACCAAAAGAAATGAAAACAGGATGTCAAAAGGATGTCTCTATCCCCATGTGCACTGCATCATTCACAACAGTCAAGAAATGTAAATAATCTAAGTGTACCAGTAAATGAATGGATAAAGATGTGCTATATTTATACAGTGGAATATTATTCAGCCATGAGGAAGAATGAAATCCTGCAGTTTGTGACATGGATGGACCTAAGGGCATTATGTTAAGTGAAATAAGTCAGAGAGAGAAACCCAAATACTGTATGATATCACTTTATGTAGAATCCAAAAAGAGCTGAACTCACAGAAACAGAGACTAGAAAGATGGTTACCAGGAACTAGGTTGTGGTGAAATGGGGAGATGCTGGTCAAAGTCTAGAGTACAAACTTTTAATTTTAAGATGAATACATTCTGGAGATCTAATGTACAGCAGGGTGATTATAACTGATACAGTATATATTTGAAAGATGCTAAGAGTAGATCTTAAATGTTCTTACCACATTTAAAAGGAAATGGTGATTATGTGACATGATGACAGTGTTAGCTAAGCTTTGGTGGTAATGATTTTGCAATATAAAAAGTACAAATTAACTTGTACATCTTAAACTCATACAATTTTTTTAAAGATTTTTATATATTTATTAATGAGGGACAGAGAGAGAGAGAGGCAGAGACACAGGCAGAGGGAGAAGCAGGCTCCATGTAGGGAGCCTGATGCAGGACTCGATCCTGGGACTCCAGGATCACGCCCTAGGCCGAAGTCAGGCGCTAAACCGCTGAGCCACCCAGGGATCCCCAAACTCATACAATGTAATATCTCAGTTGTATGTCAATAAAGTGGGGGAGGGAAATGTAAGTAAATATGTAAATAAATAAATATTTCCTCTTGTGTCTACATGAAACATAACAAGAAGCAAGTACACTTGGTTGTCTAATTTTGCAATGTTTAAAAATTTTTTGAAAAGTCTAAATTTTATCTGAATTTTCAGTATAAGTATATTTAAATATACTTCACAAATAAGCAAATATAACATATTTTTGCATATAACATATAACATATTTTTAATTTATTATAATTGATTTTTTATTCAAAAATAAATTCATTTATAATATATTTTCTTACATTTAAGAATGGATCATTGATTTATGAAGGACAATTAAAAGATTTGCTTTCTCATCTATAGCTGTTCCATTGGGAAAAGATGAAACCAGTACACCAGATATTTCCCTGACTCACGACCATGAGACATCTACTCCAAAGAAACTGGGCTAAAATGTAAATGAAAGCAAATATGAAGAAAGCTAATTTTCCCTTGCTTTCATAGATGTTACTAATTTACCTTATTATGCCTTATTCAATAGAATGCTTTCAAATACTATTAGAGTGCTAGCTAACTGTGGTATCAATTTGAGATCAATCATTCAGAGTCTAAACAAAAAGAATAGTTCAAACACAGATGTAATAAGTTAATATTTCATCAAGAGAATTATACTTCTGCCTTAAAACTGAACTTATAGATGTGGCTTCCCTTAAGTGAACTGGGCAGTACATGCATATGGTAGGGAAGTAGTTAAAGTGTTGAATAACTACTTCAAATCTCACGTTTTCTCCTAGACCAATTGTGTTGACATTTGCACTCATACTACAAAAGCACTAGCAAGTAAAACTACTGTACCCAGCATGAGTCAAACAGAGAAAGTAGTCACTGTATTTAAGAATACAGTAATAACACTGCCAGTTTTCCACAAAAATGTGTGTTTGAGGAAACACATAAAATATTAATTTTACTAAATTTTATACTTGGGAATACTTTTTATAGAAAAAAACTATTCTGTGAGGTGAAAAGGAAAGCATGCAAAATGCACTTCTGCTGCATAACAAATCAGGATGGTTGTCTGGAGGAAAAGCACTTGCAACTATATGAGCTCCAAGATCAAGTAGCCACCTTTTTGTCATGGAGATTTCTTTCAAACAATGGCAAACAGTGATTACTCAGAATCGAGTATTTGGCACATACTTTCTCAAAAATTAGTGAAATGATCCTTGTACCTCAAGGAAAACATGACACCAATCTTAACAGAAATGTCTTTAGATACTGGGAAGCTGTCAAGCTCACATTAGCAGGAACAAATTTTCCAAGATTCAAATTTTTACCTAAAAACTCTAACTTATCATTGGCTACAAAACCTTGGCTACTGCAATATTCTTGTTTTTTCCAACTGTCTATCTGTGTGAGGCTGAATTTTCTTCATATACTTCAAACAAAACAACACATCGCACCAGATTGAACACAGAGACACATTATGAGAACCCAGCCAACTTATGTTAGACAATAAAAAGAAGTTCAAAAATTTAAAACAATGTCACTCTTGTTAAACAATTTTCTTCTTGGAAAAGATCACTTTCATAAAAATGTACTACTTGTGTGAACATGTTATCAATTTGTTATTTTAAAATGAAGTAATAAATATTTTTAAAACTTGTTTTAATTTCAAACGTGGAAAAATATTGATAAATACAACCCACATTAAAAAAAAAAAAAAAGCTCACTGGAATCCTCAATAATCTTTAAGAACATAAAGCGGTGCTGAGACCAAAGGTTTGATAACTGCATTTCCAATATATTGAACTATTCTAAGAAAAAGAAAAACAAAGCTGGATGAGAGTAAATGGACATCACTTACAGCAGAAAGGCCTCATTCACAGCATCAAAGAACTCAGGCCAGAGCACTTCCTGTGTTTCATGTCCATGGTAGGTGAGCAGAGCTTCTACCAGTGGTTCAATATCTGGCAGAGTTACAAGTGGTATACAAATTCGTGACAGGAACCTTATTTTTTCAGGAACCATTCTATGAAATAAATAATTATTCAAATCTTAGAGCCACATGTAATTAAAGACAAAATCTTCATGCTGAAGACTGACGACAAGTTACTTGCTTTGTCGTACAAAGAGGACTAACACCATCTATGAACCTTTCTCTTGCTCAACTTTTCAGGAAGAAATCTTTTCGTTGAAATTCCCATTTTAACATCACTTATTGTCAGGACTTTGGCATAACTATTTACAGGCACCTCCAATTTACCATGCCCAAAACAGAACTCTTGAATTCCTTCCCCAAATGTTCTCTTCCCCACTGTTGCCAACCTCATTTGCTCAGGCCAAAGTCCTCAAAGGCCATCCTTGATTCCCCCTTTCTCATGCCCCTCACCTAATTCAGCACTAAATACTGTCAATTCATCTGACAACTTGACTTCTCTACACCCCCATCATTACCCAGTAATTCACTGTTGCCTCTGGTCTGAGTTACTGTAGGAACCTCCTAACTTTCTCCCTGCTTCTGCCCTTATCCTCAATTTTTAACATCAGAACAGTTCTAGCAACCCTTTAAAAATTCAGATCACTTGTCTGTTCAAAACTGCAATGGCTTCCAACTTCAGAGAACAAGCAAAGTCTTACACTGGCCACTGTGGACTTCCATGATGGGGCCCCTCCTATTCTCTGGCTTCATCTCCTACTCTTTCCCTTACTCATCCTGCTTCAGCCTTATAGCCCTCCTCTGACTACTCCAGATGAGGTCCTGTTTTCTATTCTGCCTGGAACCTACGGCTAGCTCCTTCATTTTGTGTAAGTCTCAGCTCAAATGTTGCCTTATGTGACAGCATCCCTGACCATCCCATTTAAATGCACTGATCAGTATGGTAGCAGTGAACCACATGCTGGCAATTTAAATTTAATTTAAATGAAATAAAATGTAAAATTCCATTTATCAGTTGCAACAGCCACATAACAAATACTCAATGTGTACTTTGAGGCTAGTGGCTTACAGTATTGGACATTGCAAGTTTCCACAACTTGTCCATAACTGCAGGAAACTCTACTGGACAGCAGAACTTAACACAGAAAGTGCCCTCCCATTCCACCTATCTCTCTTACCTTATTTCACTGTTCTTCAGAGTACTTTTCATCACCTGACCTATAATGTATTTATTAGTTCATTGTTCATTGTCTGTTTCTTCCTGCTAGGATATCAGCTTTATGAGGATAAGTACTTTTTTCTATTTTGCCCTCTGCTTCATTCCCAGGAATGGAAACAATTCCTTACACATATGACATGCTCAAGAAATATATGTTAAATGAATAAATGAACACCTAGAGATCAATAAAATGAAAGCTTGAGATGTAGGCTATTATATCTTTTTCTAGTTATATCCATACTAATCATAAATCTCGAAGTTGAATCCTGTGTTTTCTGAAACAAAAATGGAACAGAGAACATAAAGCTGTCCCTCTTTTTTTACTGGCTGCCTATTACTGAAAAAAAAAGTGTGTTCTGTAATATAACAACATCTGTATTTATAGGCATTTAGGTTATTTCTAATTTCTTACCATTACAAACATGGCTGCAGTGTTATCCTTGCACATGCCTATCCAGGACTTTGTGTGAGTATTTACATATTAAATTGCACTCTAAAAGACAACCACTTTGTTTTTCCCTAAACACCAACCCAAGTGCATAATCTTCGTGGAATATATCTGACATTCTACCATTTCCATAATCTTAAAGAAGCTTCCCCTAGAACCCCCTGACCTGTTCCAATCCAGGCAGGTCACTTTTTATTCCCTCTGTACAATTACCGTCTTGGGATTCTGTCCTGGGGATTTCCTTTACTTCTCTCCTGAACCCCGTATCTTTCTCTTTCTTGGTTCACTTTTTTGTGGGAAAAGATAAATGAGAGATAAAGTATTTGAGATCTAGGATGTCTGGAAATATCTTTACTCATAAATTTTTTTTCTCTCATAGAAAAAAACCCATTTTACTCTTAATTGATACTTTGGCTGAGGATAGAAATTTTGTAATTTTCCAACAAAATTGTGAAGGTATGGTTCTATATAGTCTTCTAGCTTCCAGTGTTGTTCTTGTGAAGGCCCATGCTACTGTGAATCCTTATCGTTTATATAAGTGCTGGTTTTACTCCCTGGAGACTTCTGGAAATCTTCTTTGAAGTTTCATACTGGTGTTGGTATGGATTCACTTTTATTCACTCTGCTGGGCACTCAGTGGAGCTTAAATCAGAAAAGTTCTCTTGGATTGTTTCTTTGATAATTTTCTATCCATTCTTTTATCCATTCTCTCTTTATAAGAATTCCAATGTTTTTGGATACTGAACTTCCTGGACACTTTTCAGTCTTTATCTTTCATCTCTTGGTCTTTCTACTTTAAATTTTGAAAGAACTGTTCAAATTTATCTTCCAATCCTTTTTTTTTTTTTTTAAGATTTTACTTATTGAGAGAAAGTGTGTGCGTGCCTGTGCGCACACATGCATATGCTTGTTGGGGGGTGGGGAGGGCAGAGTGAGAGGAAGCGGCAGATTCCCCACTGAGCAGAGAGAGCCTGCCATGGGCCTCCATCCCAGAATCCTGAGATCATGACCTCAGCTAAAGACTAAATGAGCCACCCAGGTGCCTCCTAATCCTTTCATTAGGATTTTCATTACCACTCTCTCATGATTAATTTATAAGGACTTGAATACCCTGAATGTTCTTTTTTTTTTTTAAATAGCATCCTGTTCTTTTTGAATGGATATTACTTTTCATCTTTATGGAGGCACTATTATTAATTAATTTGAGATAGTCTTTTCTTTGAATAATCTTTTTTTAAAAAGATTTATTTATTCATGAGAGACACACAGAGAGAGGCAGAGACACAGGCAGAGGGAGAAGCAGGCTCCCCACAAGGAGCCTGATGCAGGACTCAATCCCAGGACCCTGGGATCATGCATGCCCTGAGACAAAGGCAGATGCTCAACCATTGAGCTACCCAGGTGCCCCTGAATAATCTTTTAAATTTGTATAGCTTTTTATTTTTTGTCATATGCTTAATATGATTATATGATTTCCTTAAATATCTGGGGAATTTGCTTATATGCTTATATGATTATAAGCATATATGCTTAATATGATTTCCTTAAATATCTGGGGACCATTGCTGGTCTGCTTATATACACATGTATATTTTTTGAGCCAGGTACAATATACTTTATTGAAGATACATCACAAGATAGGGCTCCCTGGGTCCTTCTTCTTCAGGGGGTCAAAACTGTAGAGATCAGGAGATTCTCAGTAGGTTAAGTTTAAAGTTTAAATATTACTGAGAATACTAAAGAGCTTCTGTTTATGAGGATGGAGCGATCATAATTTATGATGTTTGAAATTAAAGCAAAGACATCTAAAAGTATTAATTCACTAAAAGTAACAATGGTAAATTCATTAGATATTAACATGAATAACATTTTTTGGTAAGCATAACTGTATTTTACAGGACAAAAAAATAGTGAGTAGTACTCATTTAAATGTTTGTAAACCTTACTATATGACCTGAAAGAAGATAACTGGATTCTTGTACACATTTCTGTATTCAATCTGTTGCACTATGTTTTGACTGGAGTATATGAAGACAACCTAGTCTAGTCCCACACAGATATAGTTTTTAAACGCAGGAGTATTTTAATACCATCTTCATATAATTGTGCATCTTTTGATACTAGACGAACACTCATCAAGCATTGCCTATCCCTGCTACTACAAGCCTGGCTAGGAACACAGGTGCAGCTGCTCGTCATGGTCCAAAAGAGTAGTGATGGGTAGTCTCTACTGATATGTGGTAATAGCTGAAAATTTACTGGCCAAGCCATCCCCTAAAAGCTGCAAGTCTTCAAACAGACTTGACAATTCAAAACAGTTACATCAAACAGTCTGTCAGTAAAATTTTTGTCCAGGTTAAAAAGGTGGTTTCCTGGCTTTTCCTACTCTATCATCTTCCCCAATATCCCCTTCTGATCTCTTGCATTAAAAAGGAAAACCAAAAACAAAAAACCCACCTTCTTACTTTCTACTTCTCTGTCCTTTTGTACTTTATCCTGGGAGAACTATTTGGCTCAATCTTTAAAGTCATTAGTTGCTATTCAGCTGTATCTCCTATTTAGCCTTTTATTAATTTTTTCCCCAAATCCCCTTTTAAAAAATATAACCAATTTATTCCTGGTTTCTCTTGCTATTCTTAGGACAATTAATTATCCCTTTAAAACAAAAACACTTGCTTGTCCTACAGAACACATTTAATTAGTGTATTTGCATCTTCTGCTTTGTTGCATTTAGTTCATTTTTCCTCATGGTGTTGGTTTTTCATGAATATCTGTGATTTTTGTTTGCTCTTTCTGGAATTTGGGATTCCCCACTAGCTTCACCATGAATGCTTTTTACTATAGCCTCCTCTGGTACTTGTGGGTAAGGTCAGGATGTAGTGCTGGTTGGGGTTGCCAATAAATTGCATTCTGTGCATTGGAGTACCCCTAGAACTGTGTAATAGCCATTTGGTGTTTACTTCTCCAAATCTTCCTCCCTCCTTCCTACAAGAAACAGGATATTTCTGTTGTCTCTTGTTGTTTTTTTTTTTTAAGATTTTATTTATTTATTCATCACACACACACACACACACACACACACACACACACAACACACATACAGGCAGAGACACAGGCAGAGGGAGAAGAAATCCCAGGTCTCGAGGATCAGGCTCTGGACTGAAGGCGGCGCTAAACCGCTGAGCCACCTGGGCTGCCCTGTTGTCTCTTGTTTGAAGGCAGTGGATATGGAGGAATATATGAGGACCTGGCCCTTAGCCAACTTCTATGAATTGCAATAGTCCAACAAGCTGTCTTGTTGGCGGCCAGGTACCTTCCTGCTCCACCCGAACATTATTTGCACCTTTGCAGTAGTCCTCTCTTGCAAGCTTTTTGGGCTGTGATATTTTCCTTCTATCTGCCATTTGAAGCCTTTCCTATAATTTT